AAAAAAAAAAAAGAAAAATAGAAAAGTTTCTTTCTTTTTTTTTACATTCTGCTTTAGCACTATTTTTTTTAACCTTTATTATTTATTTATTTATATGAGTGCTGAGAATCAAAACCAGTTCCTCACACATGCTAGTCAAGCTTTCTACCACTGAGCCACAACCTCAGCCCTGAAATTTTTCTCTTAATAACAGTTATTTGATTACTGATTGTTAACTGTAATATATCACATGAAAAGAAAAACCTATCTGGTGTCTATTTGAGAGAGTTGCCAGGGATGACATAGTTTCTGCTTTTGTGATCTTAAGTCATGTATCCTGAGGAAGGTTGGTGGGAAAGTTAGTTTAAGGTGAATAAAGGAATGGAATAGAGCCTTCTTGTAACTTCTAATATTTTGCTGTTTGCTTTTGGTGTTTTGAATATGTGGGATTCCCTGTGCAGACATTGCTACTATAGATGAATGAGAAAATGGAAAAAGCAAGCCTCGGTTCTTGTATGTTGTTTTTTTCCTTGTTCATTTATATTGGTTCTTCCTAGTACACTTGAAATCTGTTGTAAATTTATACACTTTTTTCAGTTATTTTCAGGGTTTTTGAAAATTGACCGTCTCCCTTTCACTTCAACTTCTGCTAACACTTTATATTCTCTCTTTTGTCTAGGGAATGGGATTTTGATCTGAAGAAATTGCCAAACATTAAAATGAGAAAACTCTGTGTTAATGATGCAGTTCCTAAGAAAAGGAAGAAGAAAACTATTTTAACTATAGACAAAAATTTAGAGGAATTGGAACTAAAAGGTGAATCAAATGACTCAGATGAAGAAATGACTCCAGTAGCCTGATTGTCTTGAGTTGAAAATAATTTGAGAGCTTCAAATTACACACACATTAATTATGGTAAATAATTATCTAGACATAAGAATTTGCTATTGAACTCATTGCTTTATAATGAGAGTCCTATTATCAGTTTAAAATATGGTGTTATGATTTTTATTTAAAAATGAAGGTTGCATTTCATTTATATTAAGTTGCTGAAATAGATAAAAGTTGTATTAATCTGTTTTCAGTTGCTATAATGAAATACTCAAGGTTAGGTTACTTATTAAGAAAAGACATTTATTTAGCTCCTGATTTTGGAGGTTGAAAATCCGAAAGTACTGGCTCTGGTAAGGGCCTCTGGCTATGTCACTTCCCAGTGGATGACATCATAATCCATGCAGGAGGGTGTGACAGAAGGTAGTGAGACTGAACACCAGAGAATGGGGAGGGGCCAGTAATGACCTCTCACTAGGCCCATCACTTAAAGGTACTACTACCACCTCTTAACATTACCACACTAAGCACCGCGCTTCTATTATGTGAGCTCTTGAGGGAGACATCCAAAAGTGATCTTTTAAAGACATTTAATCTGAACTTTGTGCAGAGGAAAAGTAATGTGTGAGGACAAAATGTGTTTTGAATTTTTTCCTTATGTGGATTTAGGATTGCCTAATCTCCCAAATGGAGTGAATGTACAGTAACCTGTTTCCCAAGAGGTTCCTGTGGACATTTCTTAAATTGTGATAATAACAAAATTGTGTTAAACCGATTCTTCTCTTAAACATTAAACCTATTTTTTTTCCTTACAAATAGGGAAGAATTTGATAGTGAAGTCATATTCACCAATAGATTATACATTATCATTTATTTTTTTTCTGAGCCAGAAGTAAAGGTTAAAAACAGAAGAGTCTGTCTCTGTGGTTATGTTGATCCCCACACTTAATCTGTATCTTTTGACAAAGAGAATAAATGATTTAGGCTTGCTCCTTTTCATTATATATTATTTTTTGCTTTCTCATTGTGAAAAGTGATGTTTCTAAAAGGTTTAATTGACATATAAGAGTATTTCAAGTGGCATGAAAAACATGGACATATTAGAATTTAGTTATAGAAATTGTTAAACATAAGTATCCTTTAGTGTACTTTTTAAAGGATGTGATATAAATATATTTATTCTCAAGAAAAGGAAAACATTAGTGCATGCGGTTAACTTAATATTAACTGTCTTATTAGCAGTTTTTATGGAGTGTTATAACTTTTTTACTTCTGAAAATTAAAAATAAAATTTAATTCAAAAATTTTACCTTAAAATTCGAATTATTTTTTAGTATGTAATTGATGTCGATTAATTTCAGTAATCTTCATGAAAATGATTTGTGATTATAATTTTTGGAAATTTTCTTTTTTTTTTTTGGTTCATGTACAGTCTCAAAATATTTGTGAAAACTTAGTCATGAACTGCAGTGAATAGTATAAAAACTATTTAAAAGTCCACTCTGTTAGATGAATAACTTGTCAAAGTGGCAGATCATCCTCCCTGACAGATGTTTGTTACTAGTTTTCTTTGCTGTCAATGCAAGCAAGCAAACAAACAAAACCCCACTATCTGCTGGGAATTAAAATAAGAATCTGTTGATGAATAAATGCAACAAAACATGTCATTTGGACAAAGTAGCCTGCATCAACTCATCTTTAGAGTGGTGTTTTTAATCCTGGTCTGCAGAACATGTTTTGTAAAAGTGATAACTTTTGTTTCCTTCATGGAGACCACTTTTAGGTCAGTAGCATATGTTTATAAGAGAGCTTCCACAATCCATAGCTATGGAACACAGTAAAGGTAACTTGCTTTGTGTGTATGTTCTGCCACCCTTTAAAAATGTAAAAACCATTCTTAATTCACGAACAAAGTGGGCCATAAGCTGGATTGACTTGTTGGTCATGTTTGCTGATCCTTGTTTTTTAGTTTTGTTAGGTGCAGGACAGGCTGAATAAATTGTCTGCAGGGCATGCAAGTTAGCTGCAGGATGACCTGGTCACTCAAACCCTCTGTCTGGTTCTTTTTTTTTTTTTTTTTTTTTTTTTTTTTTTTTTTTTTTTTTTTGGCCTATCTATTTTCTTTTTTTTTTTTTTAAATTTTTTATTTTTTTTATTGGTTGTTCACAACATTACAAAGCTCTTGACATATCATATTTCATACATTAGATTGAAGTGGGTTATGAACTCCCAATTTTACCCCAAATGCAGATTGCAGAATCACGTCGGATGGGGTAGAGAGAGAAGATGGGAGGGGAGGGGAGGGGGGATAGTAGGGGATAGGAAAGGTAGCAGAATACAACAATTACTAATTGGGCATTATGTAAAATTGTGGATGTGTAATCTGTCTGGTTCTTTATCACCTGTTTGCTTCAAGCCCAAACTCCCAAGCTCCTGCTTAAGGCTGAACACTTAACCCCCCTTGTGCCAACAAGGCAGCTTGCAGACCCAGAGACCCCATTAGATTTGGGCTATAAAAACTCCTTCCTGCCAGGCCCCTCTTTCTTGCTGTCTCTCTCTCGCTCTCTCTGTCTCTCTTGCTCTCTCTCTCTCTCTCTCTCTCTCTTTTCTCCTCTTTTTCACTGATGCAGTAAAGATCTCTCGGTTGCTCTGAGTGTTGTGGTCACTTTCCTTTCAAGTTTTAGGATACATTTCTAAGTTTAGAGCTGCTAACTCTGACATTTTTGCTCTTTTCCCAACATTTAGTCACTTCCTTGCTTGGCTGAAACATGTCCCTTTAGAACCTTGTTCACCTCTGATAGAAGCTTTTCCTGTTCTTATATAACCAATGCTTCAGGGCTAGGAGATTGGGTAAGTCCTTTTTGCTCTACTGTCACTTCAAAAAAATTTTTCTTCTTTAATTTTCAACCCAGAAATCTTTCTGTAAGTCTTCCTTGATTCTTCCCTTTCTCTGCTATGTCCTCCTATGATCTTATTTAATTAGCAAGTATTATTGGTTCTATTTCCAAAATTAAAGTCAAATTGGTTTATGTCTGGCTGTCTCCCCCTATGACTTGCTGTAATACAGGCAATGACTTCCTAACTGACCTTCCTGCCACCATCCCCCTGCTCCTCTGCTGGCACCCTGATGACTTCACATGTATCCACTTATTCCTCTTAGGCTAGGCTTTGTCACAGCTGCCTTTCACCTTGGAAGAATGTCCTGTGATCTTTATAAGAGAGCTTCCACAATCCATAGCCATGGCTTTATCTTCTGGGTTCTGTGGAAGCTTGAGAATTTTCATCTCAAGACCCTTTGGAGTACAGCTGCAGGCTATAAAACTACTTAACTGCAGCAGGGAAGGGGACGCCTTACCCTTATGTTGATTATCATGTCATCTGGCTCCTTTTCTGTTTGTGTCCTCCTGTGGGACAAGTATAGAGAGATGGTACCTTTGTCCATCTTTTACCAGCTTTGTAATTAAATTTTCTAGTGAGAGCTTGTTTCCTTACTGTGTGAATCTGTCCATTTTGCTTAACATTTCCCACTCAGGACTTCAATCCTTGTTCCCTCTGGCTGAATTAGTGGCACATGCCAGTAATCCCAGTGGCTCAGGAGGCTGAGACAGTAGGATCCAGAGTTCAATCTGTTTTCTCATCCTTGAGGTCTGAACCTAAAGGTTACATCTACCTGCTCAAGTATCTCTACCCTCACACCCTTGCTATTCCTTGAAAATCCCTGTGCCATCACACAGGTTAGGATCATTAGTTAGTTGAAACACAATGACAGTGGTTAGTGATCTGGGTGTGTCTGCTGTAATTCTGGGTGGTGGGGGAAGCCCAAGAGTTCAGATATCCAGTTTGGGAATTCACACTTCTGGATTAGTTCTGTCCAAGTAGAAAGTCCTATAGAGGCATTAGGCCAAGACAGCTATTTACCCTGAATTCAGGCATCTAAATTGAGGCTTTAGAAAGAGATATTTTCTTTGCTATTATCAAATCTCCACCCCAGGATTACATTCCAATGTCTTTGGCTTACTGTCCTTTAGCCACAGAATATCTGAATCCACTCAAATCTCTGAAAATATAGTCTTTATCTAAATCTTAGTCATGGGAAAATCCTATAGATTACAATGTGATATTTTTTACATTTTAAAAAAATGTTTTGAAAGTCTCTATATTTTTATTGGTTAATGCACCTTTTTATTTTCCTACAATGTCTAAGGTTTGTCAGTATAATTTGTTTTAAAATGATTATATCTAGACCCTGCCTAAAAACACAGAGCATTGTAACAGCACCACAGTTTTGAAAATTGAAGGGTTTTGAGTGTTGGAAATAGAAATCTATATAGGTCCCAGTATGTTAGGCAAAAAGTATAGAAGCTACAATCAAAATTGGAATCACTTGTTTAATATACAAAGTCTTTCACAGATCTTTATTTTCTTTTCCTTAGTTTGTCTTAGTACACATTATTCACAAACAGTATATTGTTAATGAAAGAGAATTAGGTAAAACTAAAAAAAGTACAAATGCCCAATCTCAAAAATTGCACACAGTTAAAATAATTTTTCTTCTTTGTTTCAATGCAATATCCAATTTCAAGGTGGGCTTTCTTTAGATGTGGAGGAAACACTGCAGCCCAAAATAACAGTACTTCCTTTCAACTCTTGATATGTAAAATAGCACCATTGGGCTGATTTGAGGAAAGAAAAAAGGTTTTCATCTTTCTTAATTAAAATGTAATCCTTACACAGTTATTATATGATAACTACAATAATAATGATAATAAATTTTAAGACCTCTACTTTGTTCCAGAAAAATCATTGTCAAGGCAAGGAAAGATAAATTAAATCTAGCGGATGGAATGGCCTTCCTGCCCCATGACCATTACCATTATAATTTCTCTTAATGATGTCATTGAGCTAATGAGCTAATTTTCCAGCCAAAGAATAGATGTTTTAAGAGTACCAAAGGACCTTTTGTAAAACAAGAAGTACAATCAAGGCCATCTTTCTGTGACCATAATTACACTGTAACAGCAGCTCCTACTGAGATGTAATGCTGGGGCATTTTGAGAAAGATTCCTTCAATTTCTGCATTGCTGTCCCACATCCTTGGGATCACTTATATTTTAATTTTGTTAAAAGAAATCTTGTCTTGTTTGTTTTTGTTCCTAAACTTAATTGCCTTTTGGGCTTCACTTTTTAAAAGTTGGAATTTCATTTCTTTAATCCTATACAATGAAGGTGACAGTTCTTTAGTTAAGAAATTAACAGCCTCAACAGGCAGGGTGGCACATGCCAATAATCCCAGTGGCTCAGGAGGCTGAGACAGTAGGATCCAGAGTTCAAAGCCAGTCTCAGAAATGCTGGGTGAGGTGCTAAACACTCAGTTAGACCCTGATTCTAAATAAAATACAAAATACGGCTGATGTGACTCAGTGGTCGAATATGCCCCTGAGTTCAATCCCTGGTACTTGGGTGGGGGGGCAGTACCCTCAATGTTTGTAGTTCATGGTATTGGCAATATCACAAATTTGGGCCATAATTATAAAAAGCCAAAGTTTTAAACAGCTGTAGGTTCATTCTTCAATTTCCGTCCTTTGCTTGAATTCTATTTTGTTTCTGACATGAGCAGGTAAACATGCCTCAAAAAATTGTCATTCCATAGCTCATTTTTTCTTTTTGAGAGATAAATCAGTTCACCAAAAAGCACTGCCACAAAGCCAAATATTTTCAGTGATGAAAGGAAAAAGGTACCATTGCCATAGGGAATGTAAATGAATTAACATTAGGTTTTAAGTGAATGTAGTTGTTCCAAATCAGGTGAACCACAAACATCCATTGCAGGAAAGCTTTTTAATGAAACTTTTCTGCAGTGAATTTTTTAAAATGAAATTCAGGTTAGGATTTTGAAAGGTCAGAAGAAGAACAGAATTAAATGTTGACTTTTATCCTGTTAGGGAGCTTTATTATTTTCTCATTTCAATAAAATCAAAACCTAAGAAAGTTAATTTTGAGACTTTGGGCACAGTTTTAAAACCATTTCATCTTTTATCACTAATACAGCAAAGCTTGTCTTAGCTTTTTAGAAATGTTTCTTAGTGTTAAATGTAGCCCTTGATAAGTAAGGTTTTATTTTAGCCAATCATCTTTCACTGTGCAAAGATATACTCTTATCTATTTTGGATTTAAAACAGTATTTTCCCTGGTAATTAAGGTAAATAATGCTTTTCTTTCAGAGCAAACAAAAGAGGAATCAATATTTCTTTGTTTGCTAGAGATGAGATTTTCTCCCATGAAATATTTGCAAGCAACATATTGCCCTTGCTAAACCATAGAGAAATGGATTAAGCAAATTAACAGGAAAATACGATCAAGGTTAATTCCTTGGGTGTGGTGCTATGATTAAATCACCCAAGCTTTGTTATTTTTAGTACATTTGTCTTCACACTTTATAGGGGAAGTAAATGCAGTTTAGTTTGTTTAAGGTTCACTGAAGTCATTCCTGCTGTAGTTTTGGTCCAGTTTAATAACCTCCACTTTGTTTTCCTTGTGCCTTTACTCCATCCCCTAAAAGTTTTAAGAAAGATGAGTTTTAAACCTTTTGTTTCCTGACTGAATACCTTAACATTTTTCTCACATATATACATGAATACACACATGCCACACACACAAAATCAACATTGTTTACCTTTTCTTTATTTCTAGGAATGTGGCTATTTGGACTCCATATCAGCCACTACTAATATCCATACTTTCTCCTCTTTTTAAAAGGTTATTTTTTTCCTTTGATAATCTGTGAAGAACAAGCACACTGATAATTACAAAGTGCATTGATGTGATACCCAGATTTGTGCAATGTGATACCCATGCTTTGGTTCTTATGGCCTTCTCTGCCTTTTCACAATAATAAATATGACAGCTAATAAAAATCACTTTTTTACTAGGCCATCTTTCTTTGACAGGTCACTATGCTTGTAATTATTAATCTAGCTCTCTGCAATATCATTCATACTTCAGTTTTATATGAGTATTTAAAGAATGCAATAATCAATTGTCAAACCTAAACAACTCAATTTATTACTTACCATAGAATCTGTTGAATGTTTTTGCTTCTGAACTGTCAAGGAATATATTGTCAACTTTTTAAAATAAGATCTAGTTTGTGGCTGTAACTACTTATCAGTCAAGTTGACACTCATATGGAGTAAGAAAAACACTTGTGATTTAATAACAAAAATACTTAATTTTTATTTCCCTATTGTTGCTTCATTGTAGCAAACAGAAGTTAATTTCACAATTTTGCTACAAGCAGATTGCTTTTTTAAAAAATTTAGTTTTCTTAGAGAAATGGCAACTTCATCTAATTCTTCAAACCAGGACACTTAATTTGATCAACTTAGTGCTTTGTAAAATCATAACCCTTCAATGAAACTTGAAAATAAAGGAATAAATTAAGCTTTTATTTTGAAATATTCAGCCATTAAATAAAGTAGAGCCTTAGTCTCTAATTAGGGCCATGCTATCCAATTTAGTTCATCCAAACAGGTGTGTTGTGAAATGCATACTGGATTTTGAAGAATTGATTTAAAAAAATGACTGTTTCAATAATGTTTTACATTGATAGCATATGGTGTTAAATTATAAAAATTAATTTCACCTATTTACTTTTACTTTTTATAAAGGGGCTACCTGTAAATTTAAAATTTGCATTTGTGCTTACATTTGTAGTTCGAGGTGTATTTCTGTTGGACAGCCCTGTATTAGAAGGGCCAGGTAAAATATAGGACCCGTTAGATGATTTCAACTTTTGTGGGCATTTAAAAGAGCTAATGTCACCCAATAATCTTATGAAAATCTTTTGTTCATGATTCAAACATAGTTCCAAGTATTACTATCTTCAAATGTGTATTGCATCCATTTTTATAACATGCATCTGTCAAAATAACCAGACTTCACTATTGCCATAAAAATCTGTCAGCTGTCAAAGAATATCAAAATATGCATCCTCCAAGTTTGCTTCCAGTATGACAGGAATAATGCAGACAATTTCAGGCTTAAAACCAGATGTGTTTATCCAGATGAGATAGCTAACATTACAAGACCCTTAGAAGAAACACATGTTACAAGTCAAGTCTATATTCTTGAACTTTTCCCCTGCTACTACGAAGAGTATCATGTGTCCATTTAATTTGTCATTGCTTAAAAGCATTCCGGTACCAACAGTTCTGTATTGTCTTAGAAGTCATTCTCTAGCCATCTTCACATTTCCGTATCACTTCAGGCTCGCTTCCTGGTGTCCTGCTCATTTGATGTTTTTTCCTTCTGTCCTTTTTGAGCAAAGTAAGGAAAAATGAGTCAGTAGGAGCAAGGAGCCGATAAAGGAAGTGAGTAATGCAGGATCACTTCAGTCAATTGTAGTGGCTGAGGCTAGAAAGTCGGTCTTCTGAGAAGAAACTGTCAACTGGTTCCATCAAACTGGTATGACTTCTGGGGGACCGCTCTCTGCAGACGGCAGTGAATTTGTACCCGTTTGTGATATTGGCACCACCACAGCCTCCTTGGTGTCCGTATTTACGTTACACGAGAAGTTCTTCTCAAGCTTATTGGCAGTGTCTGGGCAATTCTGCACAAAGATCACACGGTTGTAGGCCTTCAGCCTGCGCCACAATTGGACATAGACTTTACACTGTACATACATGAAGACGAGACCTCCTGTGAAGCCAATGGCCACCACAACCAGTTTTGTCCAAAATGGCCATTCAAGGACACCTTTGAAATAAAAAGAGAATGTTATCACCAAGTTGTCATTAATGGTTTTGGGATTTTTTCCTTTGGCCCCCTTCAGAAGACCAGACCTACTTGCTAAATTATGTTAATAGAAATATTTTTAATAACTAGGAAGATTTGTAACCTAATTGGCTTAATTGCTTTCAGATATTCTAAATATACAGCTAAAATTGCATATGAAGAAATTTTCTCACCTATTGTTGCAGTGACCTCTTGTATCCAATATCTGCTCTAATCATCAGATACTGTGTTAGACATTGGACACTTTGATGTTTATTCCTTATAGCTAAATCTTGAAGGATCGTGAACACACTGAAAGGATCAAATCCTTTTAAGAAGGTGAGATAATGGGTATATATGTAGGCTTATGCAGACTAATCTCCCTACATGCATTCCCTGTGAGAGAAGCCTGCCATATCCTTCTCACTAAAGAGACAGAATTTCTGAGGACAGTCATGCAAAGGACTTAAGGTTTTCGTTGCTTGTTTCATAAATTTTTATATTTTGTCACAAAGAACCATAGCTTGGATGTGGTGGCACACATCTGTTATCCCAGGGACCCAGGAGGTTAAAGCAGGAGGGTCACAAGTTTGAACCCAGTCCCAGTAATTTAGTGACCCCCCCCCCGAGCCATAAAAGGTTGGGGAGCAGGTGCTAGGAAGGTAGCTCAGTGGTTTTGTGTCTCTGGGTTTAGTTCCCAGTACCAAAAAAAAAAAAAAAAAAAAATCCTAGATATGTGTATTTTCTTCTCATTTCCCATACCATTACTAGATACAAGCTTTCTTTCACAAAGAAACAGTTTTTACAACAGTGAGTATATGGCCACACCAAGATGGTGTGGGGGACATATTTGCTGTATGTGAAAAACAGTCAAGTGAAAGTGTGGCTCTGTAGAGAAGGACAGTAAAAGTAGATAGAAACCACAGCAAGTCTATGGTTCTATGTTTTTATAAAAGTGAATGAGATTTCTACCTTTTGTTAATAGTGACATTTGCTTTATGCTTCTGAAAGCAAAATGGACAGTACCTCTTTTCTATCACATAAGATTATCTAGAAGTAACAGGGTGTCCTGTCAATTCCTGGTCCCAAATATGAAATATGGAACATTTGTATGCCCAGACTCCACAGCGAAGACAATGTTATTCTTGACGTTTACATAGTTAATATTGCAAGTATTGTCAAACTCTTACAGACATGATAATCATGTGATAAGATTTTAGTTTTCCACTGTGAAAAAAGCTAATGCAACTTAATAATCATAGTAGCTTTTTCATATTTTTAAATTCTTTCTTTTTCTGTTTTTCTATATTTTCTTTTAAATACCTGTTGTATTTGTCATTTGGCAAAATAGACTGAAGTCTGGACTCATTTCAACCTTTCCAACATTTTTTTTTTTCTTAAAATGTTTGCCTCTAACTCTTTTGGAAGAGAATTGGAAATTTTGGAAGAAATGCTCTCTGAATTTAAAAGTTATGTTACTGACATAAAAAACTTCTCACTATTGTTGATGTTTTATTCATTTGTGGCTCTGTTTAGCACTGCTGACCTAAAATGAATTTTTATGCTTCTTTCAGTATCAAATCTGAAACTTAATTTTGCAATGGATCAAATATATTCAAAAGAATTTATTCGAACCTTCATGGCTAGCAAAGATAAATGTTTTCTCTAACTTCTGATTTGCAAGGACTTCCTTTTGATTTAACCAACTCATGGTGTCAGCATCCTGAACATATCCTTGATCCCAGTGGAAATAACATTTCAAAATATCATTTGTCAAAGCTCACACACATAGAAAATGGGTAATAATAAGTCTATATCAAAGAAATCAAAATCAATTGGTAACCTTTCAAAGCAGAAAGAACTAACCCAGATAGTTTTATTAATGTATTCCTCCAAACATCTTTCTACAAATCTAACCTATTCTAAAATAGTTTGTTATAAAAAGAATGTATGTCACTAAGGTTAGTTCCATGAATTCAAGCCTGTCTAGGACAGACTAAAATCTCATAGTGAGATGACTTTGTCACCATTTAAGTATTTGGAAGTTGTAATGTATGTGTATTTATAGAAACTATCTCACCCAAACACCTCATATCTTGAAACTATGCCCAATTTTGTTCCTAAAATTTGCTGTGATCAAATATCTCTGTTTTATACTTGTGTTCAGAAGCCTGATTTCTGTCACCCGAAGCCTTTTTTTAGTAAACTTTACCTAAAATCCTATCGGTGTAGCTATTTGACAAACATCCCATTTTCTAACACAGATCCATGCTTTCGCATATGCTCTTCCGCCTGTCTTCTTTACAGTAAACTACTAATTCTTCAGAACCCACCCCAGGGAGAGAAGAGTGCAGTCTCTTTCATGAGACTGGCAAACATAAATTCATGTCCTAATTAGTGACAACACTATCCTCCTAATTGCTGTCATAGCTTAATGGTCCCTAACACCCCAGTCTAGGTCAGCCTCTGAAGTTGGCACACAAAGCAAAATCTCTTTGCCATTGAGGCTCAGGAGAAGCAAACATATTCTCAAAATGTTGCAAATTGTTTGTATAGAAACTTTCTAAATGTTAACTGATTAAATGTTACTTTAGAGTAAAATGGAATTATTCTGAATATAAAATAATTCCTTTTCATGTCTACCTACTTGAGTCAGAACCTTGGAAAACTAATTAAGGTATAATGGCAGTCAACTTTTTAAAGGAACAGAGATCAATTATCAATGCATTTACTTAACAGAAGATGCTATTTTTAGAAAACAAATTGGCAAAAAAAACAGAACTTTTGATTTTAGAAACTCCAGAGTACAAAAATATTTGTACTCAGATATTTGGCAGTATTTTGTTGGTCACATACTGTTTCCATTGTCCACAGCTAATCTTTGATTTTAAGGATAGTGATGTTCACATTGGAGGTCTGCTACCTGGGTTTGATTTCTATAAGCTGATGTATTTGCTATCATGTGTGTTGAATGACAGCACTGGTCTTATCTAAGTGATAATAATGATACTGTATCATGTGTTCTAATACCCTCCAGAAACCTTTTCATTGAGGGATGGAAAAACAGAAAAAAATTTTAAAAATTGGGGTATACAAATGTTTTATATTTATTCATAAATTTCCCAATGTGCTTATTATGACTTCTTGAATTGTGCCCTATCTGGTAGCATCAGTCCCTCATCTAAAGATTTCACTCCACTTTTCATAATGGACCACATAATCTGTACTTGAAACATATTCCTACATTTGTTTATTTATTTTTGTAGCAATTGCTTATTGTTGTACATTTCAAAAGATCAACTTCTTTATGAGATACAAAATTTTTTAGGTTAAAAAATAGACATTGCTCAATTCTTGATTTTTTATTTTTAGTATTCCAGCAAAAAAAAAATGAACTAAAAATGCAAAGTTCAAGACCTTTAGAGTCTATTTCAATTCTCCCATCTTCCTTTTTCTGCTATTTAATGCTAATGTGGAGACCATGACCCAATGATCTTGATCTAGTAACCTATGATAGTATTGAAATTTGGTTTGCATATTACATAGAAATAGCAATTAACTTGCTATTTTTATTTAAAATATTTTAAGTCAAAGCCTTCATAAATGATTTTAGGAGAAATTCTAACAAATAAGCATATGGGATAATTTTAATATTCACAAATAAATGGTAGCACACATTTAGAGATGGCTGGATCTGAGGGCTTTCTTACTGAATGCTAAGGAGTATAGTGGTATCAAAATGTGGTTAAAAATAAAAAGAGTTGAATTCCTCTCTATGTAGAGTCCTTGTGTTTGGAGTGCAGAAGAGCTTTTTTAGCTCCTTTCTTAGTTCTCTCCATCTGCATGAGAGGAACCATCATCTGGCATGCCAACTCAGTGTCAACTATAAGTTTTCAACCATGGCTAGTTTTGTCCCCTAGGGGACATTTGGGAATGTCGAGAGACATTGCTTACTGTCATACCTGGAGTTGGGTTGGGGTGGTACTGATCCTTAGTAAATAGAAGCCACAGACTGAATGTCCCACAATGCATAATATAGCCACCCTCCGCCCCTGCCCCCATCAACAAATATTCAATCCAAAATGTCAGTAGTGCTCAGGGTGAAAATCCCCGTGGTAAAAAAGACAATCACTGAAGATTCTTATTAGATAATTTGCAGGGAGGATTCAGTATACAAGTAAAACATCTTGGAGTTCTCCAAATTTAGAAGGACTTTTGCTATAAGCTATTATTTTAAGCAGTAGTTTCTGTGTTTAGAAAGCTTTTAGCCACAGACTGGAGATGAAGTGTGCTTTATCTCCCATTTTTAGGGAAATCCCCATGGATTACATCCAACTTTCCCTTCTGTTTGCTAAATCAAACTACCAGCTGTTCCTCATAAATGCCTGGAGATTTTCCACTCCTGAGCTTTTCTCCATGATATTTCTTTTCTTTGGATTTTGCTTCCCAACTTCTGCATGTCTCCTGCCCCACAACCCAACTCAGAAGTAATTCCTAGCTGAAAATGAACTTTCCCAGTGTCCCAGTTCCAAGTTATTCTCTGTTTGTGGAATGAGTCCACTTTCTCTTGCAACTGTTTTAACCTCGCTATCCTATAATCTTGACAAATACAGAATTTGTCCGGTTGGTCTTTGTTTTCAATAGTGCCTTGCTCAGTAGATATTTTAGAGATGAATGAAGATTTTACATCTTCTCTCGTCAATGAATCTCTGCTTTTGTTGGTAGACAATCTCAAGAATTCTCCTCGTGTCCCTCCTCTCCTTCTGGAACTAGTGACCCAAATCCATAATTTACCAGTAGGTCTGAGCCAGGAGTAATCAGCTGTCTTTTTTTTCTGCCTGTACTGGGAAATTTTGTGTGATCCCTCCCCTTTCTTTTACAAAGTAGCTATGAATCAGTTTCCTCTGCCCAACACATCCTTCCTTAATCTGTTCTTGGGAAATCAAAGCTCACACTAAACCCCTGGGCCGAATTTAGAGTGG